CTATAGCTGTAAAACACGTGTGCAACTCACCTCAGCTGCCCTGCCCAGAACACGCGGCCCAAGGTGTCCAGGACGGCAGTAAAACTGTCGCCGCAGGACACCTGAGCCGCGACCATGGGCGGACCGAGGGACACGGAGGCCACCGTCCGGCAGTCCTCTTCACCTGCGTTGGGCCTGGCCAACTCTCCTTCGTCGTTCAAGCCGCAAGCCAGAACTTCTCCCTCGGCAGTAAGAAATGCCGAGTGCAGACCGCCGGCGGCCACGTCCACGATGGTTTTACCAGGGGGTAAGACCACCGGGGTCGGCAGAATCCTCTCCTCTTCTTCCGCGATGCCAAGCCCAAGCTGGCCGCAGTCATCTTGACCAAATGCCATAGCCAGCCCGGCTGGCCGCGGTGTCAGAGGAGGGGATTCGGAGAAGTCAGCCTGCGGCTCTGAAGGCCAGGCCCTGGGCTGCGGACCCGTCTTTTGAAGACCTGTTGATGAGTGAATTAAAAAAAAAGATCAGCATTGCATTTATTATTTCACAAAAGAGACAAAATATCGTGAAATCATTCCTCAGTTGATTGATATCCTATGTACCGCAATCATTCCTCAGTAGACGTGAGGGGGGGGGGGATTTCGCTCGAGGTGTCCCCCTGGCCTGGTAGATCAGTATTACGAAAGGTAGGTAAGCATCTATTTTCTCGGTGATATATGCGGATTTGACAGGAAAACAGGCACCAAATTTATATGGTGGCATTAAGAACAGCAACTCACCAGTCAAAGCCATTATGGTTTCCACCTCGTCCTGGAGGGTGGTGCCCCGCCTCGCCCTCAGCTTGTCGAGCTGCACAAACACAAGAAAGTTTCTCTCTACATCTTCAGTCCATTTGAATAAATGATATGATGAGAACAAACATATGTCAGGGAAAAGAACCCAATTTATAAGAATGAAATATAATGACAGCGTCCCAGACGGCAGGCTACCATAGAAGACTTGTCGCGACATCAGGCTCCCCTTTCAGTGTGAGTGAAGAATTAGTGAAGAATTATAAGTGAAGAATTGAATTCCTGGCACTGCAATACATGTAAAAAAAAACTTCCTTAGTTGAGACACTCCCTCACATCATATTGGCAAACTTGGAGTGAATTTGAACCCGTACGTACTTACTAGATGATCCAGTCGTTACAGAAAAGTCTATTTTTACTCACGGTCGAGACAATGAGCACCGTCATGTCGATTTCCTCCTGCTCCCAGTCAGTCACGTCTGTAGCCTTCCTCCTGCGGTAGATGTATTTCTGTGGATACAATGATAATTTATTAGTGATACTTCCAGTTTGATGTTACCTGTTCAAACTTGTTTCAGACAACAGAATTTACCATATTACTGCAACAAAACACAGAGGAAGACGGCAGATGCGTGATGGCGATAGTGAAGAATTCGACTTACCTTGACCTGGGCAGGAGACAGCCCGACCCCCACTGCTTCCTCCATCAGGGCAGACAGCCTGGAGCAGTGAGGATCAACCTTCATAAGGCCCCGATTCCAGAGTTCCTCTAACTTCTTGGTCTGCTCAGGCTTCATCTGTAGTAGATAAACACACAAGGGGTAGCACCATACTTGTTTTAGTAACAGAACAATACCTATGTATGTTTGTCAATGTTGCAAAAGATATGAAGCGACTTTCTGTGTTAGAAAACACAAATAACCCAAAGAGCTTAAATCAATAAACTGTTTTAACAGCACATTGTCACTG